TGGATGGATTCCTCACAGGCATGCCGCTCTTCCCATGCACCTGCAACCATCCTCTACCTGAGCTGGGAGATGACTGCCTCTTCCTGGGGAGACTGCAGGAGCCCATTTCCTTATGGACAGGGTAGCAGATGCTGGGCCAAGCAGACACTTGGAAATATGTGCTTGAAACCCTAGAATCATGCACCTCCTCTGATGCCCACGGTTCCTCAGGCTGTCCTGCTATAACTACCTGCTACCAGTCACTGGTGGTGCAGCAGGATGCTGAGCCCCTTGCCACAGAAAGTCCTTTGACTGCTGTCTTTCCTGTTGCTGTAAGCTTGTGGTCTCACTGACCAGTCCTCAGCCCTGTCTGTGCATGGAAGAGCACCAGTGAGGGGCTGGTGCAGCTGTGTGTCCTCCTGCATGTGCTGTCTCTGTAACAGTCTTTGTGGTCTGTGCGTGAGTAATGTGGGACCCCTGCCCCTGTCAGAGTGCAGGCTGGCTGCCCAAGTAGGGTGAATTCTGCCCTCCAGCATCTGGGATCAGTTCTGAAGGAAACTCCCAGGCCAGGCCTCGACCTGCCCTCTGCATTGTTGTCACTTTTTTGGGGCTGTTTTACATCTCAGGCTTCTCAACAGCTTGTGGTTTCCAGTTCTGAGTTGGGCGGAGCAGTGTCATCCTGCCCTGGACTGTTTCACCACCTACAGCTCCTATTTTCGTTACAAGGAATGGGGACTGTGTCCCTTGCCCATGCCGCCTGCTGAAGGCATGATTTTCATGACTCCATGTACTCTTCCCACCAGCCCTGTACTCCTAATGTTTTACTGGTTCATGAAACACATGTATCAAAGAGACATCTCCAAGAATATGAACTGAACCTAGTCACTGTTACTTATCAAGGCTGTTAGTGCTCAGTGAAACTCATGGAGAGCCTCTGGGTTGTGTGACATGCCTTTCCCAAGGATACCTCATTCATCTATTCCCGTTCCAGTCTCGTATCCATGGTGTAGGAGTGTATATGTTTAAATATAATTTTATTATATTTCAGACAGTAGCCGTTAGCTTGTTCTGTGTATTTCTATTTTTGATCTTCCCTGAGCACATTTAAATTCCCTTTAAATGGAAATCTGGGACAGAGGGAGTGAGGCAGATGCAGATGTGTTACAGATACATTTTTTCTCTGAAAAGCAGACCTAGGAGTCAGATGTGATTAGGCATAAGAGGAGTATCCAAATAGTAATAAAGCAAACTGGCTTCAAATTGAGTTGGCTGGGAAAAGAAACCCAGAACTGTCATTTAATTATCACAAGACTGTTTAGATAAAGTTGCCGTTGCCTCCTTATTGCTGTTTGCCCAGACTGAGTTAGAGATATTTGCATACTCTGCACTATCAATATCAGCAGAGCCTTCCCGCTCTGACATATGTATGAGCAAATGACAGTGCTTGTTGCACTCCCAGCACTGTAACTGCTCCCTTTTCAAAGGAGCTTGCAGGGTTTGAAGCTGTTTTAGTGTTTGCCAGGTTATCTGCAGCATCAAAACATGACAAAACCCTGGAGAAGGATGTGCAAAGCTTGGGGAAGGGGTTTGGTGACGGGAGCGAACTGACTGCTGGCTGTGAAGTAAGTGGGCTCACTGTGCCATGACAGAGACCAGGGATGATGGGGACCTACCTGGGCACAACTGCGCTGTGCACCCCTCCTGTCCTCATAAGGCTGGCAGGGACAGGCAGGGCACCAGGGATGATGACAACCTTTGAAAGTGTCAGGAGGAGGAGCCCTGGGTGCTGACATAGGTGACTGAGCATGCAGGAACATTCTGTGATCCCCATCAGGTTTGACTGGTACTTCCATACGATGTGTGAACTTTTGCACTGACGCAGTTCCAGAGGCAGAGCAGCGAAAGGACAATTTTCCCAATGAGGCGAGAGAAAACACATCTCCTACCTTGTAGACTTTTGCTTCCCTTGAGGACACTTTTTAAGTGTTACTGGCTCACCATGCCATCAAGAAGGGCAAAGCAAGTTCCTCTTGGAAAATTTTTCAAAAGAATGAGTGAAGAGCTGGTTCAGAGCAGAGCACTCTGAAGCACAAGAGGGACTGGCTGGGTGCACTAGGGCTGGGCAGGAACTTGCCTCCCCTTCTGCCTCCCATCTCCTTTCTGCACCAGGGCAAGGAAAGGGACTCAAACTAGGGAAAACCCAAGATGCTACTGTGCTATACTCCCTGCCACACCCTTTCTCCCAACACCCCCCCACCCCTTCCCCACAGTTTGTTCCCCTGTGCCTCTCTGCAAACACAGCAGTAAGCCTGTGAGCAGAGAAGGCAAAACCTGCTACTCTAGCCCTGCTTGGGTCACTTCAGGCTGTGCTAAACCCTGTGACAGAGCTGCTTCAGCCCCGGCAATATTGATCAGTTCAATGGCTGACCTTTGGGAGGAAGTGGGAACTGCGGCCGTGCCAGCAGAGGGCTGGAGGGCAAGGGAAAGTTCAGTGCCTTTTCGTCCCTGTGCTTTCGTTGGGAAGGGGCCAGTGGTGCCTCGCTGCCTGTCCCGCAGGAGCAGCGCTGTCAACCACAGGGCGGGACCCAACTCCAGCAAGCGTTTCCTCCTGTCCGCAAATGAAGGCAGGAGAGGCTGCTCTGCTTGAGGAAAAGCAGACAAGGAAATGCCAGGCTGTGCTTGTACCAAATCCCTCGGGTCACAGCCCAACGCACTGCTGAACCCCTCTGGAGGGTGTGAGGGGCTTTGATCAGGGCCAAAGCTCAGGGAAATCGAAGCCTTGATGAAGAAGAGCTGTTAATTGTAAGTGCAGACAGAGCTGCTGCCGATGTGTGCCTGCCTGGGGGGGTTTCCCTGCACAGGGTGTCAGCATACCTAGCTATGCCCTCTGGGGACAAACACTCTTGGCAGTGGCAGAATGCAGGAGCCTGAAACTCTGGGGCTGGGGGAAAAGGCAAGCAGCTTGCTTGGATTTTGATTTAAATTGCATTCTTATTTTTTCCAACCTGCTTGCCCACTGTCCAGGGCTGAGTGCTGGAAAGCGAAGGCTGTGTATCCTCTGCCTGGCCCCATTGATGAGCACCACCAGTCCATTTTTCCAGCAAGCAGGTCATGGGCAAATGACCAGGAGCAAAGCAACAAACTTGCCATGTGTATGTCATCCGGAGATGCTGAGGGTCACTCCTTTCTCCAGGTGTTGCCTGTCACCACCAGCATGTCCAGGCAGAAAATGCTTGGGGAGGAGGTGGCAGCGGTGATGCCACATGTCCCATTACGTTTCAGGGCTTAATTCCAACCTCTCTGCTCCCAAGCTGGATAGTTTTCTTTTCTTTGAAATGCAGCTTTTCCATGGGAACATGTAATTGCTGTTTGTGGTAGTGGAGGCATGTTGGGAAGTGCCCAAGGAGATGCCCACTACATTTTGGTGCGTCCTCCCTAGGGATTGGCACCACAGGAGCTGTGTCTGCTGGGGTTGTTGCCTCTACAATGACAGGAACTGTCGCCAGCACAGCCGGTCCTGCTGCGATCAGGTACTTGGCATTTGTCCAGAGGGCTGCGCTCATTAAAATTAAGGGCCTGTTTCACTACAGTGAGTCCCCTTCTAATTATGCCCCTGCTATTTCTTGTGGCTCATTACAGGTGTTTCAAGCAGTGCTGGGCTTGGTAAGCCCCGGGTGGCACCGTCTCCATTCCTGGGGAAGACCAAACCTCTGGTGGTTGTGTGGTAGGGTCAGGGGAGGGGGCACCCAGAGGCCACAGCACTGGGGTTTGGGACTGGCCCTGGAGTGCTAAACCTGAGTTGTCCCACTGGCCTTCCTCAGCCCAGCGCCATCTGCACTGGGACATGAGGCATGGCACAGGTAGGGGGAGATGCTGGGTTCACCTCACCTGTCTGCCCTATTTGGAGAGGTGGAGCTACAGGAACTGTCACCTCCAGATGGCACCTGGAAATTGTCACATTAAAGAACAGTGGTGCTGAGAGCAACAAAGAAAAATATATGTCATATCTTCACTAGGTCATCACTACAGTGCTGCTGGGACCTGTCCTGAGGCCACTTTACTGGCACAGAAGCCAGGATGGGCCGTGCATGAACCTCAGCATTTCCTTCAGCCATGCTTCACTCCTCTGCATGGTGCTGAAGGAGCTGGAGGACATGCTGAGGAAGAGCCTCGTGGGCTCAACATGCAATCCTGTTCTTCTTGCTCAGCTCCTCTGACATGTCTTCACTGTGGAGCAGGAGGCAGCATGAGCTCCCAGTCATGGCCTTGGTGTAGATGAAGGTGATGGGGCATCCTGGAGGGGCAGATGGGTCAAAATTTGGTGGCAGGGGCAGCCTCGTCCCAAAGGGGATGATCCTCTTACTTGGTGATGAAAAGATGTGGAGGATGTAGCTATTTTTCTGCTTTTCCCTTCAGCACTCAGTGCTTTAGCACTCAATGTTCCTCTTGCAGGGCATGGTGTGAGCTGTGGGATGGGGGTCCTATGTCCCAGCTGCAGCCAGTTAACCCAAGCATCTTCAGCCCTCACCAGTTTAGAGGGGAAACCTGTGATGCCTGCTGCTGGCAGCCTGCACCATGAGGTCAGCTTTTGTTTCCTGTTTTGTCCCCTCTCTCTGTGCTGCAGGGTAGCTGAGGCAGATGGAGAAAGGTCTGGAGAAGGCAGGAGCTGGAGGAGCACCTGTGCCAGGGAAAGCCATAGACTCTGTCCCACCAGAGCCTCCCTTCACTGCCACCCATTCTCTGCCTCCCTCGTTTCAGTTTTACCCTTCACTCCTCACTCATGGCTCCCAAAGCTGTCCTGCTAGAGGTGCCACTGTGGGACAGGCTTTCTGTGGGCAGGGGAGCAGAGATGCTCAGCTGCCTGTGATTTGTCACGCTGGCTCTTGCAGAGCCTAGCACGTGGGCGCAGGGCTGTAAAGTGCTCCCTGGGTCCCACCACTACGTCCCCCCTGGGGTCATGGCTCCCCCACCTCTCTTCCCCCCCAGCCCTTGTAGGCATATCCAGACCTACTTGTGCCTCTTTATTAGGGAGCATTTGTACATTTATAAAACAGTGATGCACATCTCTCACGTTCACCATCATGAGGGCGTTCGCGCAGGCCCTCCCACCATGGTGCCCGTGCCCACCCCGCTCGGGGCTTGCTGCTCCAGCTGGCAGGGAGAGACCCACATCCTGCGCCCCCTGCTTGCTGCAGGAGACTTTGGTGTAAGGCTGGTTGGCATGGCCATGGCACCTCCCTGGGCTAATGTGTGGCACCCCTCTGGGGACACTCCTGCTAGCAGGTTGGTGTATGAGGACCCCATGGGGAGCTGGCATGGGGTGTTCTGGAAGGACTTCCTGGGGAGCACCAGAGTGTCTGCCCTGCTGGGAGGCTTGCTGTGGTCCCCTCCATGTGGGGGGACATGGTATACCATGCAGTTGGGTGCTTGCACCAACAGGGAACATGTTTACACATAGGTGCATATTTTGGAGGGTCATTGGGCCACGCATACCCAGAGCCAGGACTGCTGGGCACATCACCAGGCTGGTGCTCTGGTTCCTGCCCTGCATATCCCATGTGCAGGCCTTGAGAGCTTCAAGGATGATGGCTCCTCCTGTATCTATGGCTTTGGGCACAGCGTGGCGTGGCCGTGTTCCATCTGTGGGCACCAGGGATGGGGACCAAACTAACAGGGCCAGGAGCTGCCTGGCTCAACCCCAGCCTTCCCCAGAGATCCCAAATTCCTGCCCTGGGGTCCCCCTCTGCCAAGTGTGTGTGTTGAGGGGGGCTTTACCAGCTTGCCCCCCCTCCTGAGATATTTTGGGGCAGTTTGCCCTGCGCTGGTGTCTGCTACAGTGGAGGAGGTGGAGGCAGTGTCTGACAGGACAGGGGGAGTGCTGTGGGTCCTGACATGGATCCTGCCATGGCTCCCACCATCTCAGGACAGGCAGGAGGACTGTGGGTGCCGGTTCTGGCCAAGGATCCGGCCAGCAGCCTGGACTGTGGCTATTTGGGCAGCGCTCGGCATGGAGCACCCTCCTAACTGTGTACAGTCTGGGGGAGGCACAGCGGGTGCTCAGCACCCAGGGGTGGGAGCATGGTAAGGGGTACGTGCACGGTGCAAAAGAGCAACGACAGGCAGGGGAGCGAGGGCAGGACCTGCCGTGCTGCCTGGGCTGTGCCGGGCAGCTGCACCAAGGGATGAGCCACTTTGGGCAATACCTGGGCAGGGAGAGCATGGGTTCACAATGGATTGGGGTAGAAGACGGGGGAGGCTGCAGGTTTGTGGTGCCAAAATGACTGGGGACTACTGGGGACCAACACTGGAGTGACACAGGAAATCACAGTGCAGGGGTCTGGCTGGGAACAGTGATGTGGGGCCTGCAGACCTGGTAGGCTGCAGAAGGTTGGGGAAGGGCAGGTGGATGTTTGGAAGGGTGTCACAGTGGTGGTGGTGCCAGGGGTCAGGGTGGTGCCATGCAGGTGTGGCTGCAGTTGGGGTGTCCCTGGACTGGCTGTGGGGGCTGTACTGCTCAGAGAGCTGCCCTGCAACACTGCCCTGCCCTGCAGCAGGAAGGCAGGGAGGTGGTCCCTGGGCAGGGGAGAAGCTGTTCCAGGCATGTCTGTCTCCTGGGAGGAACCATGCAGGGCAGAGACCACCACCCAGGAGGGGTCAGCAGGGGAGGGCTTGGAGGGGCTCACAGGAACCTCAGCTTACCCCCTTCATGCTCTGTAGTGTCAGGACCCCTCTGGCCCACACCTGCTGTTCCCCCAAACCCCCCCGGCATGCCCATACCCCTCCATGCCGTGTGCTTGAGACTGGGCTGAGCCCACGTGCTAGGGGCAAGCAGAAGGGACAGGCAAAAGGGCTGAGGGCCTGCTCCAGTGCCAGTGCCAGTGCCAAGGCAGCTCCAGTGGCATCACTGGGGGCACATAGTGTGGCCGGTCCTGGCAGTGGGTTGGGGGAGGTGGGGGCCTGCACCCACCACACCCAGCGCCGCAGTCCCTCTCCATGAGAACAATGGGGAGGGGAGCGGCAGGGGGCTGCCCCCTAGTTCCGATCTTGCCTAGCAGGCGAAGTCCTCGAAGACACCCTGATGAGGGTAGTGGTGGCGGTGGTGGTGGTTGGGCAGGATGCCTGCGTTGTAGGTGCCCTCCATGTGCCGGCCCAGTGTCTCACAGGGGCTCTGCAGGGATGGCAGTCAGTGAGGTGAGCATAGACTCCATTCACCCTGCTCACCCCCCAGTCTCCCCACCCAACATAGCCTGTCCATAGGAACCCCCCTAGGGGCACCCAGCTTTCTGCCTCCCTGGGACTGCCCTGACTCTGCAGCCTGAGGGCACCAAAAGCAGAGCCACACTGTCCCTTGGTCTTGGGACCATGTCCCTTCCCCTGGGGTGGGGGCGGACACTGCCCAGGCCCTGTCCTTGCAGCCTTCAGACAGCCTACTCCTGTGGGGGTACCTGGTCCTTCGTTTCCTCCAGTCCCAGTGTGGCAATACTGCCCGAGGGCTTCTTCAGGGGTGGCTTGGAGCGGCGCAGAACTCGGCTCACCCTGTCTCGGATCACCTAGGTGCAGATGGAGGGGTCAGACCCAGACCCACACGCAGGTGGCACCCTGTGTGTGGATACCCCAGTCTACATGGAACTGCTGCCCACTGCCCTGCCCACCCAGGGACAGTGGGGACAGCACCTCTGCCCACTACCCTCCCTGTCCTCAGGTCACTGAGGAATGCTGGATGACCCGTTCTCCTCCCACTGCCCTCCCCTGGGTGTTCCCCAATTTGGGGGCTGTAATAGCCCTCTAGGGTGGCCACGCATGGTATGCCCTCCCCAGGGAGCCCATTCCCCCCTCCCAATGCTGAGACTCATCCCTGAAGGCTCAGCACACCTCATAGATGTAGTCCAGGATCTCCAGGATGGTGAGAATGCTGGCACCGATGAACAGGCCCATCTGCCCCCCGATGTCCCCTGGGGGGGAGGAGGAGGAGATGGTCACCAGGAGATGCTGTGCAGCCCACTGTGAGCCTGGGGTGGGCCAGCAGGGCTGTGGGCAATGCCAGGACTGCTGGATGGAGGGGGACAGTGCAGTCACAGGGGCAGGGGCAGCAGGATGGAGGGAGTGGGGGGACATGCGGGATAGGGGAGACCCAGCAGCATTCCACCCTTCAACCAGTCTGTGGCTAGCTGGCTGCTGCTCTGTGTGGTCCCTCCCACACCAGACCCACATCCTCCCAGGGCTAGGACCCAGAGCCTCAAGGCCCCACAGTTAGGTGAGGGGAGTCACCGAGAAGCCCAGCAAGGTCATAGGCTTTCTTCTGCTCGATGGCTTCATAGTTGAGCGCTTCAAAGAAGATGTCCAGCACCAGGAAGTTCTCCCTGTGGGGACACCATTGTGCTAAGCAGGGAGGACTGGTCACTGACTCTCCCACCCCCGCTGCCCACAAATCTCCCCTGTCCCCCAGTCCTCCATCTCCCAGGTGCTCCCAGGGCCCTTGTGAGTTATTCAGGCTGGTCCAGTGGGGACATGAGCAGGGCATGTCCCAGGCGAGGTCATGGGGACATCTGGCCATGGGGTGGGGAGATGCTGGCAGGAGGGCTGGAAGGACACTGATGGGTTGGAGAGATGTTCTAGTGGCAACACCCCTGGATAGAGGACCTTGTATGCCAGGACCCACTCCCTGCATGCTGCCAAGAGTAGGGTGGAGGGTCCCCAGGTCCCCATCCCCCTGCCTACCCCCGGAACACCCTGGTGCTGGCAGCTCACCGAATGTAGGTCTCGTTCTTGTTGTACTTGCGGGCGAGGTAGCGTGCCGAGCCCTTGTTGGGAATGCGGACCATGGAGATCTCCTTGCCATAGCGTGTCAGGTTGCACGGTGTGGGGCAGCTGCAGCGCTCCTGGCTGTCCTCCACTGCTGCATCTGGGGGCAGACACCCATTGGCATGGCTGCAACCCTCAGCTCCCTCCCTGGGAGCTCTCAGCTGGCCCCCAGATGCCCGCCCACCGCCACACCTACCCAGTGTGTGGTCAGCACACTCAATGTACACATTAGGGGAGCAGATGGACTCATTGCCTGTGGAGAAACAGCTGGTTGGGAGGGTGGGAGTCTGACCATATTCTGCCCCTCACCCTTGACTCATTCCCCTAAAGGTAGTGGGGCAGTGTGGAGTAAATAGGGATGAGTGGTCCTTGGGTGCAGGTTGGCTGAGGCAGGGATGGTCCCTAGGTACAGGGCAGACAGGGAAGAGGCTGACCTATGGTGTAAGGAGGGTAGGACAGGGGCTGACTCGTTGTGTGGAGAGGATGGGATGGTCCCCAGGTAGAGACAGATGGGGCGGGGGGATCTCAGAGTGCAGAGGGATGGACAGCAGAGTGGTCATTGGGTGCAGAGGGATGAGGAATCGGGGAACATTGGGTGCAGAGTGATAGGGCAGGGGTGATCTTTGGGTGCAGGCTGCAGGGAGTTGGGGTAGCCGTGGGTAGAACTGCTGGGGCAGTGAGGTGCCCCCCACACCATCATGCACACCCCTCACCTGGCATGTGGACCATGCGGCAGTGGCAGGTCTGCACCACGGCCTCCTTCTCACACTGGAGGCGGCAGGCAGCGATGCTGTAGGTGTCATAGCCAGGCAGCATCTGCTCCCCCTGCATGCTGGCCCGGCAGTTCCCCCATGGCTGTGGCAGGTAGGTGAGCTGTCAGGGTGAGAAGGGCATCTCTGCAGGGCTGTGCTGGACTGTGTGCCCACAGGCACCTTCCTGGGGACTGTGGGGCATCCTGCCTTACCCGCTGCTCCTGGCAGGACACGAAGGTCTGGAAGCCGGGTGAGACACCAAAGCCCAGCTGATGGATATAGGGTGGCTCATCCTGGCTGTGGATCTGGACTCGGATGCCAGCTTCAAATGATGTCTCATCTGTGGGAGAAGGGCAGAAGTGCTGCATGGCTGCACTGACCCAGCACCTGCATCTCTCTGGTGCCTTGCCTGACCCATAGTCCCCACTCAGGATGCCCTCCTTGCCCAGCAACCCCTCCCTCCTAGCACCCTTCACCTGTGCCCTGCCCAAGCCATAGCCCCACTCACTGGTCTCTCTCCAGATGGGCAGGTACTCTTCCTGCTGAATGTCCAGCATGATCTCCAGCCCGTTGCCCATGCCCCCTTGGCGGGTCACACGCGGATTCTTACGGTCCCCGTTGAAGGTGTAGCACTTACCATAGCGTGTGTAGACCTGAGGATGGAGAAAGGGGAGGGGTAAAGGAGCAGGAAGGGATCTGGGCAGGGTGTTCTACAAGCAGGATGAGGTCCTGGAACCCCTTTCCAATTCCATGGAGGTGCTAGAAGGGAGGTACAGTCTTGCATGGCTCTTGGAAGGGTTCATCTCAGCCTCACTCCTGATGATGTCACTCCTCCACCCTTGCTGAAGCAGGGGTGAAGCGTCACTCCCAGCACCCATGGGGGCAGCCCAGCTGTCCTGCTCCTGCCAGGAGGAGACTCACAGGGGCAAAGTGTTGGGGGCCACAGCGCTCTCCTTGAAAACGACACTCCACCAGCATGTCCTCGATCTGGTGGCCCAGGCGGTGAAAGAAGCTCTGCATGGTGCGTTCGGAGCGGCGGGGTGGCAGGAAGCGTGAGTAGTTGGCCAGATGCGTCAGCCATGCACGCTGGTCCTCCCCCAGCACGGCCAGCATCTCGGGCACCAGCGAGCGGTTCTCCCGGGACAGCCCCAGCCACTGTCCCACCGAGTAGAGGTCAGGCTTGGTGAGGTGCAGGAAGCGTGCCCGGTTGGGGTTGCAGAGGGTGACGGCTGGGAAGCGGAGTTGGGGAGCCCAGGTGAGGCGTGCCTGGGTGTGCACAGGGTGCGAGAGCAGGTGGTGCAGGCGGTCGGCAGTGCTGGTGGCCAGCAGCCCGGCAGAGGCCAGGAAGGCCAGGCTCCAGAGCAGGCGGCGCAGGCGGGACTGTGGTCGGGTGCACATGTAGTGCAGCCCGGGGATCCGTGTGGCTCGCAGGATGCCAACGGCAATCTGGGCAGCGCTGCTGTCCTGAGATGATGTCAGAACTTCCCTGTCCTGGCAGCAGGCAATGGGCAGTGGCATGGCTGCAGGCAGGGTGGCTCCTCTGGGATGCAGAGGTGCAGGCTGCCCCTGAGGCTACCCAGGGTCCCTGGTCCCCTCCAGGGAGCTCTCCCTCCCCGTAGGCTCTTTCTCCGCACCTTCCTGGAGACTGGAAACGAACGTGGCAGGCGCCTTCCTGAGCTGCTCTGGTGACGGGTGAGGGGAGGGAGAGGAGGGGGCTGCTACAAACACGCCTTCCCCCAACCTCCATTTGGGAATGGAAAATTCCTCCTCGAGCCAGGCTGGGACAGCAGGGTTGCCTCACCCCAGGCAGGTTGAACTGGCCACCCCCAGTGTTCCAGCATGGTGTACACCTGTGTCTGGATAGCAGTGACCTGTCCTAGCCACACTGTGTGAACCCTGTGCCTGGGGATGCTGCGCCTCAGCTCGTCCCCATTGTCCCTTGCCAAGCATGGCACTGTAGCCCCCATGAAATACTGCTTGGACCCGCAGGGTCCACAACTGTGCCTGTTCTGGGGCTGGAGACCATGCTCCATAGAGGTAGGACAGTGCCAGGCCTGGGAGGCCACCACCTCCTGCCAGCGCTGCTCGGGATCATATCTACCTTGGGCTCCAAGGCTGTACCCTGGTATCACTGGCCCTGGAGCTGTGGACCTCAGTTCATCTGGTCCCTGTGGGGTGGGAGAAGCAGGACTGTGGGTCAGGAGGAGTGGAACCATTTGGTGGGAGGTTGCGTGGGAGCCCACCTGACCCCGGCAGGCTCTTTGAAGTGACAGCAAGGCTGTGATCAGAGCGCAGCAGTAGCGGGGGGGTGTCTGCACCCGGCTGTCAAGTGTGGCTGGCAGCACCCCGACAGCCTGTCAGGTGCCTTCAAAGCTCAGCACTGCAGTCCCTGCAGCCTCTCATCTCCTGCTGCTGCTGCTTCTAGGCACCTGCCTTCGGCATCCGCCCCATGTGGGCTAGCATCAAGGATGGGGGGTGGGTCCCGCCGTCTCCATGGTCTTGGGTCAAGTTAGGGCTGCTGGGCCTCTTGAAGGGCAACACCCCTGAGCTCCGTTGTGCCTGGGCAGGAGGAGGGCAGTTGGTGGCAGGAGGGATTGGAAAAAGGGGGGCTCCAGATCACCTTAGCAGTGACTCCCAGCATCATCTGTGCCGCTGGCCTTGACGCCTGAGCAAGGTGTAACTTTAGCCATGACAGGGAACCGCCCAGGATCCCATCTGGCAGCTTGGTTACAAGTACAGAAGGAAACTAGGCAGGTCAGGAACAGGACAGGCACCGAGGGCAGCACTCCAGGGTGGCAGGGCAGTGCACCCCCTCCATCACACTCTCTACCCCGCTGCAGGGAGAAGCGCAGCCCAAAGGCGCGCAGGGTTCCAGCTCTGGCCCTTGCTGGCAGCCCGCACCCCGCACTCCGCACCCCGCACTCGCAGCGCGGGCGGCGGGTGCGGGGCGGGCGCTCTCCGGCAGAGGGCAGCAGGGCCCCGCGCTCTCCCTGCTCCCGTCCGCCCTCCCAGCCCGGCCCCCCATCCCCAGGGCAGCCCTCGAGCCGGACCGGGCCGCTGAGCTCTCTGGCTCCTGCCGTAGCCTCGCCGCCGAATTCAGCGCCGGCACCAATCCCGTCGCGGGCTCCCTGCTCCCTGCATCCTCGGGACGCCGTGGGTCACCCCACCGTAGCTGCCCTGAGCTGTCCCCTCCAGCGTCCCCGCAGCACTCCCGGGACAAGGCTCATCCCTTCCGTGGGGCGGCTGGAGCCGGCTCGAAGCCTGCTCCTTTCTGAGATTTATCACGGCTGTGAGCGCCGGCAGCTGCCAGCCTGATACCATCAGCCCCGGCACACTAAGGCAGCTTCTATATTAGTTTTCTTTAAGCGGAGGATGAACTCCCCAGGCTGGAGAAAATGTCATTTCTCTGAACGCTTCCATCTCGTGTCGGTTCAGACATCTCCGGGCAGCATCGCAATCACCCTGGAGCAAGGTGAGGGATGGGGATGAGAGGCAGAGGCTGGGGCACACGGGGACAGACAGCTCAGGGACAGGGACCAGTGTTGTGCAGGGTTGGAGGAGAAGGTCCTTGTGGTGGTTGTGGCCTTGTCCCCTATCTCCTGCAGCCCTAGGCAGGTGGGCATGGCTGTGGGGGAGCAGGGGGAGAGCAGGGGTGCCCGTGGCATCCAGCTGAGTTACTCACTTGTCGGCTGCTGGGGTGCTGAGGCCAGCTGTGAAATCACACTGGCAAGCACACAGCACAGTCCTGAGGGGCTTTGCCTTTCCAGCATGACAAATCCAATTAGATAACAGGGAGTGCATGAGGAGGAGGAGGAGGAGGAGGAGAAAGGGCAGAGGAGAGCCTGCCTGCACCAGGAACATGATTTTCTCCCTGCAGCTGACCCAGAAAAGCACCTTGCAGGCTGTAGCACACATGTCCAGCCAAGAACAGCAACTGGGCCATGGACCTCTCGGCACTCTGCTCTGCTTGGTGGGTACTTAAGAATCTTGCAACCTGAGGGGTAGGGTGGCAGCATTTCCACACCTCGTGCCGGTCTCCTCACTCAACCACTGCATGACGGCATCCCCATACCATGCTGATGTGCAGGGGAGACCCCATTAGGGAGGTAATTTCTTGACACAATTCCTCATTTTCCTCTCTCTGCCTGGGAGACACGCTGACCTTGACAGAAATAGCTGCCTGCACCTTGGCAGGCAGATCCCAGTCAGAGATTGGTGGGGGCCCTGGCATCTTCCTCCCCACTCCACACAGCTCTGGGGCCCCCCAAGTCCTCTTCATGCCCCTGAGACTTGTTTCCCTGCCCCCTGTTGTGGAGAGCCCTATGGGAGCAAGGTGCTGACCCCCAGCATCCTGACCCTGGCTTGCGCCAGTCCACCCGTGAGCAGTGGGGGCATGAGGACCAGCATCATGCACTCCCAGTCCCCCATCTGCAGTGCTGCCAGCCTATTGTGCCAGCCCCAGGCTGATCCCAGCTCACACAGGTATTTCCACGGCTTACACGGCTCCCCATGGTATTTAGCCTCTGGAAGACGACGTTAAACATTGCAAGCGGTGACAAATCCTGATTGCTCCAAGGAGACAAGAGGCCACACTAAGCTTCCAGCCAAACGTTTTCATGTGAGGGAAACGAGCTGTGATGTGTGTGATGCCGGTGGGTCCTGCTCCTGCACGCCTGGGGCACCCAGCCCTGCTCCCACATCCCCTCTGGGACATCCAGCTCTGCTCCCACATCCCCACTGGGACATGCAGCTGATGGGCAGGCCCTGGGCATGGACACAGCATGCAGGAGTGATCACCCCAGCATAGGAACACCCCTGAGAGCAGTCATCACTGGAGCAAAATGGGGATGGGGACGTGAATGGGAAGACACTGGAGTACTGCCCACCCTGGACTTGGGGATGCCAGCCCAGGGGTAACCTTGTGGGTGATCTTGAGGTACCCCACCCCAGAGAGCAAAATAGTATGGGCAAAGCCATGGCATAAAGGAAAGCAGCCTCCAAAACTGGAAATGCTGCTTCCTGAGCGAGTGCAGTCAGCTGAAGGCACAGGGATGTTCCTGTACAGGGGACATGGCACAAGAGCTGGGGCCAAACTGAGGTGACACTGGTAGAGCTGGGGCAATGGCACACCCATGAACACTGCCCCCTGCTTTGCTTCTGCCCCCCACTGTGGCCATCCCAGCCCTGAAGCCCAGCTCTGCTGGAGCCCCTCCCCATGCCACTGGCCCCTCCATGGCAGCCCCCCCATCCCCAATAGCCCGTTCCCCCCCGCACGGCACAGCCAGGCCCCGCCTGGGTGCCCCGGGAGGGAAGCCGCAGCGCTGACGCCAGCATTACAACTGCCCGGGATATGAGATCCGCTTGGATTCAGCAATTTCAACTCATTTCAAGCCCGATTCTGCAGCAATTTTCTGAGCCAGTGGGATGTTTTTGCCACTGCAAACGTCCCTTCTCACACGTGGTCGCACCATTTCCCTTCCCTGCTCCCAAGAAAGGTTTGGGAATGGTGCCAGTTTGGCTCTACCCCAGCTCCTGCGAGTAGCACAACCATCTCCCACACTAGCAGCCCCCCAGTGCAGCCTCCTGCCCCACATGTAGCTGCTGGGATGGCTCCTGTGGGATGCAACCCTGCTTATTTGGGCTGGAGCTGCTACCTCTGTGGGGCACTGGGCTTTGCATCCTCACCCCAACAGAGCAGGGCACCTTTGACCCTGAGCAGCACACACCAGTGCTGGTCTGGGCTCCTTGTTTCCCTTGTTTCCCTCCCTGTGAAGGGCAAAGCTCTGGAGCATCCTCCACAGCTCCCTGACCTGCCTCCAAAGGAAGAGGGAGAGCAGCGTGGGGCAAGGGGACCAGAGGATGCTACAAGCATATCCCAGAAGGGCCAGGACCTCTTCTGCCACCACAGCTGTGCCTTTCTATGTGCCACAGGACAGCCCATGCCAGCTGAGTCCCCTCAGATAGGCCTGAGCCAAGCAGTGGAGACGTGGGTACATGGGGCTGGCAGAGCCCCTCTCATACCAAGCAGGCTCGCTGCTGGAATACCAATTGCTCAACTGGGCTGCAGGCTGTGCTGCTGGCTGGTGCAGAGCAGTGGGAGACACCTGGGCACCAACACTGGGCAGGGCCAGCAGGTCGCCACCAGACTGCTGCATCAGGGCCAGCATGTAGCCTGTGTCCCCAGGAATGGGCAGGATCTAGAACAGGGCTTGCTGCTCCTGGTGGGTTGGTCAGGAGCATAGAGATGCAATGCAAGGCAGAGGGATAGGGATGCACTGTGCTCATGGACAGACACCTTCCCAGCACATCTGTCCCAGTGCTGCCAGTGACTAGTAAAGCAGGGGGACATTGGCACCATCCAGCTTTCAGGATCAACATCTGTGATGGCATGCCCAATCTTGTGTGCCAGGGAAGGACCACTCCCTGCAAACCATTGCCCCAGGAACCCTGCACTGGCCAAGCCAGGAGCCAGAGGGATCTGCACTGCCAGTGCCACATGGAGCCAGGATGACTGTGACGCAGAGGTGAGTGGCTGGGGACCCCAGGTTATCACCTCTCGACCCCACTGCACAGCAGGGCAGCACACAGCTGCCTCCAATAGCAGAGCAAGAGCCATTGCATAGTTGTGCTTTCTACTCCTGCTGCTTCTGGGGGGAATTTGTCCCAGAATCTCACTCATTTCAAACCTAAATTTATTCATGGCCAGTTTGTACCATTTGTTCTCATGCCAGCATTGTCCCTTAGCTTAAATAACTCTCTTCCCTCCCTTGTGTTTACTCCCTTGATGTATTTATAAACAGCAATCCCATCCCCTTGTAGCCTCCAGCCTGCATGTGCCAGTTGCTTCTGGTTTCCTCTCCTAATTCAGGCTCTGTCTGCCTGTGCAGCCCAGCACAGCATCTGCTCCAGCTCCACAGCCCTGGCTGCCCAGGGCTTGCACACTGCTCCGTCCCACAGCAGCCGTGGGGCAGCATCCCACCCCGGTTTGGTCTGCTGCCCCAGCCGGGGCTAACCTGCTCCCTGCAGATCTCTCGGCAGCTTATGCTTTGATATGGTTTGTTTGCATTTTAAAAGAGTCCACCAAAAGGGACGCCTGGGCAGGTGAAGGAGCCAACACCAAGGGAATTGCAGAAGATGAAGTTCCAGTGGCAAAGGTGTGTTGCACTGCAGGGAAGGGGTGTAGAGAGTTGGGGGGGCAGGAGCAGTGAGATGGGGGGGCAGGAGCTGGGGAAGTCCATCCTGTTGGCAGCCAGCCAACATATCTGAGATGCTGATCGTGCTGCCTACCTACCCTGGTCTCTCCCTTAGTACATGAATGGGGTGCTGGAGCTGCAGGAGATTTCTGTCCTATGTTTCTTCCTCCTGCTTCAGGAGGTGCACAGGGTCCCTATGGGAAAGATGCACCAAAGCTGCACCCCCAAACATGCCAGAACGAGTTTGCCGATCTGCTACCACCCTCCCTAGCTTGGGTTTGGACTGTGCCGAGCATCAATCCTGACATTGCTCTGTGCATCCTCCGGCTCTCTCCAGCCGGCTTCCCACCCTCAGACACCCCCGCACCGGGCACGCCGCCCCCGGGCACACAGCACAGCACGCTACAGATAAGCGCTGGGATGGGATGCAGCTCAGCCTCGCTGCTGCAAACCCAACAAAACACTCACATACACAGAGAGCAGTAGTGATGGGTTTGGGTTGCGGGCTCCCCTTGGCACCCGGAGGAGACCCAGCACCATACGCGGTGCTCTGCAGACACAGATGGCCCGTGCCTCTTCTCCCCAGCACCAGGGAAGGATCCCCAGCCCTGTGGTTGGTTTCACACACAGATGTAGCACTGAGCCCACACATCTTGCATGCTGGAGGAAGCAGGGAACATCAAGGATACACGAAAGTGGGGTATGCCGGGGCTCCTTTGTGGAGTTTAGACAGCTTCTGCTCTGTGGCAGTTGTCACCCCCCAGGGACCCCAGTACATCAGTGCCTCTGCATGGTGCTGGTTGGGCTCTGGTGGCTTTCGGCAGCAGATCCTGGGCGCCCCTGGCCTTGCCTTGCTCCCCTCCGCATGCGGGGCACTGCGGGGAGGTATCCCCTCATCCTCCCATCCCCGCAGTGCTCCGCGGGCAGCGCATTCCTCGGGGACGGTTTCTCTTTGAACGCAGTCGTACAGGGAGCGCTGCTGGCCGTCCCCAAAGGGTTAACAAGCAATTTCCTTTGCTGACAGCTCGGAGACCGTTCACTATCGACTGCGGGAGAATAAGAGGGGAGAAGCAGCGAGATAAAAAGGCAGCAGAGCTGGCACCGCCTGCTTAATCCCAGCGTTTAATCTGCTGGGGCAGCGCAGGCAGCCTTATCTCGCCGTCCTTCTGCTGCTCCATCTCATTACTGCTCCCACGGCTGCCGGGAGATGGGGGAGCTGAGCCGAGGAGCGGGGCCCGGGGCAGGGATGCCGCCTGCCTCCCCGCTCAGCAGCCCCCGCGCCTGGCACCACCGCATCCCTCGCTGTCCGGCCAGAGCGAGGACACCCACACAGGACTGGGCGCACAGGCTGCACCCACGGAGCGTGCTGGCTCATGCCTGGCGCTGTGACACAGCCTCGGGGACACATTGCCGGTGTCACACTCAGTCACACGTTTCCCAGTCACCGAGCTCCGGTGGTCCAGCCTGTGCCATGTCCAAGCCCTCATGGGCTGATGAAGGATGCAGGGATCCATGGGATGGTGCGTGTAGGACACAGTAGGGCCAGGACAGCAGGCAGGGCAATGCCGCCTTGTCTTAAATGTCCCCCTCTCTTCATCCTCACCTATCCAAGTGCTCCCCTGCCGGATGCCATACCAACCTTGCTCTGTCTGCTCCTCCCACCAGGGACACCATGGCCATTGTCTCTGAGACACACTGGCCTGGACCTGGAAGACCCTGCAGCCTCAGGGAGAGGTTAGGCAGGAGGGGAAGGTGGCTGCTTCCCATGAGCTGGCACACTGTCCCTCCAGCCGTGGCATTTATCTGTAGATCCACACCACTGACTCTGTGCAGATGAAGCCTTGCACTTGCTGGGTTGTCACGGGGGTTATCCTCCTGCCTATGATGGGTTTACACTGATAAGATTTATTGTCACCCTGGCTGAGGTGCTGCCAGCACATCACTGTCTGCTCCTCTTGCAAGGCTGTGCTGCCTGCCCTCATGCCTGAGAGGCATGAGCAGCACCTCAATGAGCGGTTGCCAGCAGAGTGGGTCCCCAGACGAAAGGACAGCCAGGCATGACCCTCTGCTCCCTGCTGCCAGGGCTGATGCGTCCCGTGCCCACCTGTTGCAGGGTGCCTCACACACCCTCTCACCATTTCAGCAGGATGCAGGGGATACTGGTCTCTGAGCCGGACCATGCTGAGCAGAGCACACCTCTGGGCTGACACAGATTTGCTGACTGTGCTGGCAGTGCAGCTGCTGTCACAGCTCGGTGGCTTCATGGCTCTTCTGCATGGTGGGGGATGACTGGGACTCATGGGGCTGCTGGGTGGCTGTGTGTGGAGCCACCGCAGGCAGGGTGGCCTAAGCAAGGAGTAGGGGCCGACCCCGTCCTGCAGCCTGAACTCAGCACCATGTGGAGCTGGCAGGGTGGCTATGGGAGCCAGAGCCTTGTGCACCCCCTGCCCCAGGGTGACATGGGATGAGCAGAAATACCCTCAAAAGGGGAACTTGGTTTCAATGCACTCTGCTATGCCCTGATCCCTCACCCACTCCCTGCTGCCTGTGCCCCCACGATGCTTCCCACTACTGATTTCCCTGGGGCCAGCAGGGATTGTCCTGAGCCACCTGGAGCAGCCAGGCAGGGATTGAGCCAGGCTAAATCCCTGAGCAGCAGGAGGGGTAGCCGCCTTCCAGCATCCCCTCCTCATCCCCAAAATCACCACATAAGCCCTGCACTGCTCTCCTACTGCTCTGCTCCATCCAGGCTCCCACCTCTTCCTCTTCTCTTCCCCTCCAGTTGTTGACCTCCGACATTTCTGGGGGCTCTGCTCTCTCCGACAACATGAATTTGACTCCAACATGTCAGAACTGAAGGAAACAACACGCAAACAAACAGTCTGAGCCCTGCCTGCACCCACCTCCCCAGGGCCAGCTCAGGGAGCCTGGGGGCCAGGGGGCTGTTTGGGATGATGATGTAACCCGACAGCACCTCGGGAACCCTAGTGAAGTGGGGTGATCACAGCCCAGTGGGAAAGGGCCCGTTAATAGCTGAGCCCTTTTAGCAGAGATTAGGGAGCTGTGTGGCTTTGATCTTTGATTGCCAATTTGCATCCTGAAGGCGCTGGGACCTCATCCAGCCTCAGCGCAACCCTTTGTGGTTATCTCGTGGCTAATGGATTTGTTCTTAATGCTGGAGCGTGCAGGCTAAAGGCTGATTAAACTCTCTCTGCGGCGCTAAATCAATGGAACAAACATGATAGGGGCTGGCTTTCCCCAGCCTGTGAGCTCCCGGGCAGAGGGGCTGATCAAGAGAGTCCCAGCATCCTGGCACTGACAAGGGCCCCCTCCTTGGGGCTGCCAGGCAGGGAAAGAGGCGCAGGCACTGGCAGGCAGGGACAACCCTGCAGTCCATATCCTTCTCCCCATGTATCCCTAGCCTCTGCTCGCTATGCAGGAGGTGATGGTCTAGGGGTTTTAGGACTGAAGGTGTCTGGCCCTCCTGGATGCTTGGGCCACACTGCCCTTGTGCTGGTCCTTGGCAGCTGCAGGAGTTACTCAGTTGTCACCTCCAGCTCCTCCCAGCTCCCAGGGTTTGCTGTGGCAGCAGGGACATGTCCTGAAAGGGATGGGATGCCCCTGGAGATGGAGGACTCCTTTGCCTCCCACACACAGGGAAACAGCAGTGGGAGTTCCCATCTCCTCTGTCCAGACCTTCTTCCCTTCCCCCTGCTTGAAGCCAGCACCACGTTCCCAGGGCCGTATGCTGCCCACCACATTCCATACATCACATGCTGTGAGCAGGTGTATCTGCACACACTTTCCATAATGCCTGTGGTCTCTGCTGCACGCCCAGCTTCAGGAAAATGCAACTCCCACTGTGTCTGCAGGCAGCATGAGCAGAGGGGACAAACTGCACCCTGCCCATGCAAGAACAGCTGGTCCTCCATCCTACTTGCTGCCTGGGATGTGGGCCTGGGGGTGGAGCTGAGCACCTGAGACAGGCAGGACTAAAGTTATAGGGAGTAGCAGCTGTGGGGATTAGGAGATGTGGGGAAGAGGGTTGTGTGGCTTCAAGCTGGGAGGAGACTGGCTGAGAGCATTTTGCAACCTTTGCTTTTTGCAGGGGCTCATGGCATTGCCCTGCTGCTAGGGCAAAGCTACCACAGGTTGACAGGAGCCCTGAGCAGGGATCCTGCTCCAGGGCCCAAGCTGCCTCTGCCAGAGGATGAGATATGAGCTGCAACACTGTGAAGCTCAGAGCAGTGTCTTGCTGGGAACCAGTTCATGGGCAGAAGGTGCTGGGAACAGCTCCATGGGCCCCAGGCTGTGCCCATGTCAGACTCAGCCCTGATGAGCAGCTGCTTCAGAGACAGCTGGGCTGCTGCAGAGTGTGGAACTGGCGGGATCACACACCGAGATTCCCATCGACAAACCTCACTATTGAAACATCTCCCCTTTGCCAATATTTGCCAAGCACAGGAGATAAAGTGGCTACAAGTTATCATTGCCGGCATTTCAATCCACCAAGCTGGCGGCAGAGGGGCAGCCAGGCAGGCAGATAGACCCTGGGGGTGGTGGGGCCCTGCGAACTCAGTCCCTTGGGCTCCCACGCCCATCTCCTGACTGAGCAGCCCCTGTGCCCTGCCTGCAGCAGAGTGAGGAGAGCCAGACCCCCTCCATGATGCTGCACAGCGTCTCTGCCTGCCTGGAATGGATGCTGCCACCATGGGCAGCACTGCCTCTGCTGCTCTGCCCTGGGCATCAGCACAGCCCCTCTCCTGCACCCCCACCTCTGCACCATGACAGCCATCTCTACCTGGTCAGCATTACCTCTGAAATCCTCAATGCAGCACCAACCTTGCAGTTCCAGCACTGCCCTATCCACCCCACGTCATCCCAGTGACCCCAATATCACCACCCTGCCCTGCCTGCACCACACAATCCGCTCTTCCCATTGTTTCAGGCTGCCTGTGCAGTCTCTGCAGCAGTCCCTGAGTGGGTAAGGCAGGATACGATGCTGAGATACAGCTCCTGGAGGAGAAGCCCAGAGCATTATCAGCACAGGGAGTTAATTAAGGTCATGTCAGGCGATAAGGAAACAGGATGTCAGAGCAGAAGCAGTACAGGGGGGTCAGAGCCTGAAAAACTCCCTCTGAAAAGCAACTCCACCGAGATGTGGAGTCAACCAGGTGCTCGGGGACAGAGCAGCTGTCACGGCTGCACACGCAGGGCTTCAAGGATGGCACCGCACATGGTGTACTGTGCAGGATAGGATAGGATGGAATGGAATGGGAATGAAGGTAGGACAGAATGGGATGGGATGGCGATGGTATGGGAATAGGAATGGAATGGGGTGGAATAGGATGGAATGAAATGGGGATGGGATGGGACGGGATGGAGCTGGGCAGGAGGCCTGGCTGTGATACACTGTTTCCTGGGCAAGGAGAGCCGGCTGAATGGTCCTGGTTATTCACTCCTGTCCTCATGCAGAAGCAAAGCACATCAGTGTGACCAACATGATGCAAACAGGGCAGGAATTGCTGTGAACCTCTGCCCATAATTAGCACATGTAATTGCAGACACACTCTGATTAGCAAGACCTCAGAGCTGGGTGTGCCAGGCTGCTTGACAGCTCTTGCACTGCTCCTGCCTCAGACTGTTCACCTCCCTGCTCAGAGATGGCTTCAGCCCTGGGCCAGGCAGTGCCATGGGGCTGGGAGAGCCAGGCTGACCTGGCATGGCACACCATGGTGCACAGTGGGGTTGTGGGAGCAGACTGTGGACAAGGGGACAGGCATAGGGCACACACTGCCAGTGCAAACCCATCTTTCCTGCGCGAGCAGACACAGCACCCGGTGCCCTGCCTTGCTGGGCAAGAGCTGAGCTGACAGGACATAATTAATACTTGCATCAATCTCAGCTGGATTTGCATAGTGCCCTCAGTCCCATCCTACTCGGGAAGGCAGGCTGCTCCATGCCTTTCTCAGGGGCAGCAGCATCAGACGCTCGGCTGGCCCTACCTACTCTGCAGGGGTCACAGTCTCAGTATGTCGCCCACATGCCCCCACATGCACACTAGCCTTTCTCACCCCACTGCAGTGGGGACACCCACAGGCCCCTGCCCTGCCCTGCTCCAGCCACTGGAGCATTGAAGACAGATGGAGATGCTTCCCTCTGCTGTGGTCCCTCCCTCCCTCCTTGGGCGGTAAAGAAATTGTGGAAATGGCAGCTTGGGAGTGAAGGGTACAACACGGTTTGGAGGGCAAAAGGATGTGGCTGAGCTGCAAACACCCCCTGGCAGCTGGGAGCCACAGCAGTGCCCACCTCTTCAAGCCCAGATGCCCATGGGCACCATCCACAGCCACTCCCTCTCTGCTGGGACACTCAGCTCCCTCCTGCCCCTCTCCTGCTCCCATAGCCCAGGTGAAGTCCCTCATCCCATCCCTGCAGGGGTCCCCCAGGCTGAGCCCTGGCCTGGGAGGAAGAAGAGCCAGGGCAGAAAAGAGCCTGTGGTGGCGGCAGGAACAACAGGACGCAGGCAGGGACATGGATGCCACCACAGTCCTCTCTTTTCTGCCCTGTGGGTGCAGGTGGAGGTGGTGGAGGGACGGAACGGGGCTGTGCGGGTACCACTGACCCCCGGGATAACAGAGTGGTGAGAGATCTCTGTGCAACCGAGTGCAGAGCCTCGCCACGGCTGCTCACACCGCTGACAGCCGCTCTCGGCCCCGTGACACTGAAGGGACCACGACGCTCCAGGCACAGCCGGAGTACAGCCGGATACAGGGGGGGGACGTGGGCACGACTCCTGCCCCTGGGCTGCCTGCCAGCCCTCTCCAGCCGCTGTCACTGATGTGTCTCACCCGTGCCCGACTACAGCACCCACAGCACCTGCAGCATTTGTGCACACGCATCACCCGTAGTACCTGCGGCACGGGCTGCTCAGCCCACCCGGGCGTGGGGGACTGGGCCACTGATTGTGCCTGTGACTGGGGAGGGGGAGCCGCTGCCTTATTGCAGCTGCCCAGGGCAGCGCATCCGGCTCAATCAGAGCCGCACGACCCTCCTGCACGCCGGGCACCGGGAATTAAACTACTAATGAGCTGCTGGCTGGAGGGCTGGCTGTTAGTGATTAATCAGGGATTCTCCTCTGACAAGGCTGTGCCTCCTCCCCCTTCCTGCCCTGCACAACCCAGAGCTGGTGGCTGGCAGTGACTGGTGGGTCCCCCAGCCCCTACTCCCTGTCTGCCCAGCCACCGTGGACAGGGGACAGCCTGGCTCAGCTGTCCAACACAGAGAGGATTCCCCAACCCCTGTGCCACTGGGACACAGTGCCCACAGGTCCTTCCAGCCTCCGGCTTTCCTGCCTCTACTGCTCCTCTTGTACTTGCCTTCCCCACCCTGCAATCAGGAGGGAACCTTTTGTTCTGCTGGAAGAAAACCTGTTGAGCACAGCCAAGCTCAGCCAGCGTTCAAGTGCTGCTCAGGTGCAGAGCGTGCTCAGGCCTGTGTCTGAGAGCCCGGTGAGGGGCCCAGTGACCTGGAGGGCCTCTGCTGAGGGGCTGCTTGAGGATGGCAGGGGAGGACCAGCTGTGCAGCCAGCGAGGTCTCCTGGTGAGAGGGCAGGCATATGCAGGAGCCCTGAGTCCCAGCAGGTCGGGATGCAGGTCCAGCCCCCTAACTCAAGCCTGGCAGCACAGTGCCGTGTGCCACCCTCACCTCCCACCTGCTGCTGACACAGTGGTGGGGTGGTGGATATGGGACTGGCAGTGCCCTGCTTGTGACAGCTGCTGGCATAGCACACTGGGACACAGGGGAAGGTTTTGCAGCATGAGCAGGGGACAGCCGCCCACAGAACCAAGCGGGGA